TACTCTCACAGTCACACAGCATCACCTGGGTCCTCTCACAGTCACACAGCATCATCTGGGTCCTCTCAGTCATACAGCATCACCTGGGTTCTCTGACAATCACATAGTATCACCTGGGTTTTCTCACAGTCACACAGCATCACCTGGGTCCTCTCACAGTCACACAGCATCCTCTGGGTCCTCTCAGTCATACAGCATCACCTGGGTTCTCTGACAATCACATAGCATCACCTGGGTTTTCTCACAGTCACACAGCATCACCTGGGTACTCTCACAGTCACACAGCATCACCTGGGTACTCTCACAGTCACACAGCATCACCTGGGTACTCTCACAGTCACACAGCATCACCTGGGTACTCTCACAGTCACACAGCATCACCTGGGTACTCTCACAGTCACACTACGTGTGTGCAGCGCCTGGACAATCTTTATTTGTGGAGACGTTTCGCCCACCAGTGTTCCTTGATGCTGCAGGCGAGGGGTTCTTGATCTAGGCAACTGAATCTGTGCTCCAGTTCCTCGATTCGAACCTCATCTTCGATGAGTTCCTCATCTTTGATGAGTCTGATTCATCAAGTTGTCTGCGCTGTTCTGGGATATGTATTGGAGGCGGTCGTAGTGTGGTAGTGGTGGTGATGGTGGTGGTGGTAGTGTAGTGGAGGTGGTCGTAGTACAGTAGTGGTCTTAGTGTAGTGGAGGTGGTGGTAGTGCAGTAGTGGTGGTCGTAGTGTAGTGGAGGTGGTGATGGTCGTAGTGTAGTGGAGGTGGTGGAAGTGCAGTAGTGGTGGTCGTAGTGTAGTGGAGGTGGTGGTAGTGCAGTAGTGGTGGTCGTAGTGTAGTGGAGGTGGTGGAAGTGCAGTAGTGGTGGTCGTAGTGTAGTGGAGGTGGTGGTAGTGCAGTAGTGATGGTCGTAGTGTAGTGGAGGTGGTGGAAGTGCAGTAGTGGTGGTCGTAGTGTAGTGGAGGTGGTGGTAGTGCAGTAGTGGTGGTCGTAGTGTAGTGGAGGTGGTGGTACTGCAGTAGTGGTGGTCGTAGTGTAGTGGAGGTGGTGGTAGTGCAGTAGTGGTGGTCGTAGTGTAGTGGAGGTGGTGGTAGTGCAGTAGTGGTGGTCGTAGTGTAGTGGAGGTGGTGGTAGTGCAGTAGTGGTGGTCGTAGTGTAGTGGAGGTGGTTGTAGTGCAGTAGTGGTGGTCGTAGTGTAGTAGAGGTGGTGGTAGTGCAGTAGTGGTGGTCGTAGTGTAGTGGAGGTGGTGGTAGTGCAGTAGTGGTGGTCGTAGTGTAGTGGAGGTGGTGGTAGTGCAGTAGTGGTCTTAGTGTAGTGGAGGTGGTCGTAGTGCAGTAGTGGTGGTCGTAGTGTAGTGGAGGTGGTGATGGTCGTAGTGTAGTGGGGGTGGTGGAAGTGCAGTAGTGGTGGTCGTACTGTAGTGGAGATGGTGGTAGTGCAGTTGGTGGTCGTAGTGTAGTGGAGGTGGTGGTAGTGCAGTAGTGGTGGTCGTAGTGTAGTGGAGGTGGTGGTAGTGCATTAGTGGTGGTCGTAGTGTAGTAGAGGTGGTGGTAGTGCAGTAGTGGTGGTCGTAGTGTAGTGGAGGTGGTGGTAGTGCAGTAGTGGTGGTCGTAGTGTAGTGGAGGTGGTGGTAGTGCAGTAGTGGTGGTCGTAGTGTAGTAGAGGTGGTGGTAGTGCAGTAGTGGTGGTCGTAGTGTAGTGGAGGTGGTGGTAGTGCAGTAGTGGTGGTCGTAGTGTAGTGGAGGTGGTGGTAGTGCAGTAGTGGTGGTCGTAGTGTAGTGGAGGTGGTGGTAGTGCAGTAGTGGTGGTCGTAGTGTAGTGGAGGTGGTGGAAGTGCAGTAGTGGTGGTCGTAGTGTAGTGGAGGTGGTGGTAGTGCAGTAGTGGTGGTCGTAGTGTAGTGGAGGTGGTTGTAGTGCAGTAGTGGTGGTCGTAGTGTAGTAGAGGTGGTGGTAGTGCAGTAGTGGTGGTCGTAGTGTAGTGGAGGTGGTGGTAGTGCAGTAGTGGTGGTCGTAGTGTAGTGGAGGTGGTGGTAGTGCAGTAGTGGTCTTAGTGTAGTGGAGGTGGTCGTAGTGCAGTAGTGGTGGTCGTAGTGTAGTGGAGGTGGTGATGGTCGTAGTGTAGTGGAGGTGGTGGAAGTGCAGTAGTGGTGGTCGTACTGTAGTGGAGATGGTGGTAGTGCAGTTGGTGGTCGTAGTGTAGTGGAGGTGGTGGTAGTGCAGTAGTGGTGGTCGTAGTGTAGTGGAGGTGGTGGTAGTGCAGTAGTGGTGGTCGTAGTGTAGTAGAGGTGGTGGTAGTGCAGTAGTGGTGGTCGTAGTGTAGTGGAGGTGGTGGTAGTGCAGTAGTGGTGGTCGTAGTGTAGTGGAGGTGGTGGTAGTGCAGTAGTGGTGGTCGTAGTGTAGTAGAGGTGGTGGTAGTGCAGTAGTGGTGGTCGTAGTGTAGTGGAGGTGGTGGTAGTGCAGTAGTGGTGGTCGTAGTGTAGTGGAGGTGGTGGTAGTGCAGTAGTGGTGGTCGTAGTGTAGTGGAGGTGGTGGTAGTGCAGTAGTGGTGGTCGTAGTGTAGTGGAGGTGGTGGTAGTGCAGTAGTGGTGGTCGTAGTGTAGTAGAGGTGGTGGTAGTGCAGTAGTGGTGGTCGTAGTGTAGTAGAGGTGGTGGTAGTGCAGTAGTGGTGGTCGTAGTGTAGTAGAGGTGGTGGTAGTGCAGTAGTGGTGGTCGTAGTGTAGTGGAGGTGGTGGTAGTGCAGTAGTGGTGGTCGTAGTGTAGTGGTGAAGGGGAAACTAAAACAAACCAAGACTCGCTCAGTGCAGTCCAACTTGTTTATTAATTTCATGTAAACACAGAAAGACAGTACCAAAGACTTTACGTCAGAGGAAACAAGCTTTACACGCAGTTATTTTTCAATTAATAAATAAATCTGTAAAAAAGAGAGGCTGATAGTAGGTTACACAGCAAATAAATACTTAATAAATTAATGTAAAAAATATTAATATAAAATGATATATACAATGTCCTATCAATAGTGTATACAAAAGGAAATCAATGATATAAAAAGCGTTCTTGGAAGCGTTTTGCTATTTACAAAAATAATATTGCTTTGGTATGACGCTTCAGCTCTCTTCACTTCCTCATGAGAAGCTTGGCCAGAAGAGACGTCTGTCTGTTCACGTCGAGACAAGCTTAGTGAGGAGAGATGTCTGTTACACGAGCTTGACAAGAGGAGACGTCTTGCTCACGTCAGGAAAAGTTTGACAGGAGGAGACGTCTTGCTCACGTCAAGACAAGCCTGACAGGAGGAGACGTCTTGCTCACGTCAAGACAAGCCTGACAGGAGGAGACGTCTTGTTCACGTCAAGACAAGCCAGAAAACTTACAAACTACTTTAGATCTGTCACACGAAACCCATTGTCTCTTGTGTATCTTCACGTAACACTGGATGAGTGGAGTGCCGTCCTCACAGAAGCTCTAAGGTGTAAATGAACTTTAAGGCTTGGCCCTCTCCAGCGAGGTACCACCATGTCATGCCAAGAGTTCTTGAACCGAAGTAATGGACCTTACTCCTTATTCAGATCGAACTTGATTGCCTTCCATTCCCCAGACACTGTGAGACTCCTGCGCTGCGGGTGGACTTATAATTATAATACGGGGTCTTGCCCAGCGGCGAGGTCCTTTTCTGGATGAGTTGCGTCACAGTGGGACGCTTGTGGAGTGAGCAAGGTGAAGGAAGTGGTAATCAGGCAGTGTCAGGAGGACAGCACCTACTCAGAGAGACCAAGGATGGTGATGGATAGTGATAGTGTCTATGGACTACGTGGAGATATTCTCAGGCACAGTGACAGGGCACAGTGCCACTAGTTCTGCAGGCGAGTTTCAGTATTCGAAGAGATGACTTGAAATGAAAAAAATAAGAACAATGAAAATTTAACAAGAATAAAAACAGCCTTAGCGAGAGAGAGAGAGAGAGAGAGAGAGAGAGAGAGAGAGAGAGAGAGAGAGAGGAGAGAGGAGAGAGAGAGGAGAGAGAGAGAGAGAGAGAAAGAAAACAGAAGGAAAGTATGGGCATCCACTGAAAGCAGAAAAAAAAAGTTTGAGTGATATCTCACATATATAATGAAAGATGTAGGAGGGAGGAGTAGTGAATGTATGTATAAGTGGGAGAATGAACCACATTGCTTTTAGCTCTTCATGTAATGCAGCAGGTAGAAGTAGCAGCAGAAGTCATGGTTGAGGAAACCTGTCTGCCTTAGTTGTCTTCTCACAGAGGTGCTCTGTAGCCAAGGTATAGCTAAGACACTGCAGGTTGCGCTTGTGAACGTTCCTTGTAGCGAGGATGCAGAGTCTGGCACCCAGAAATGGAGACGAAGCGACGGACATATACATACGCTGCGTCTGGCACCCAGGGCTGGAACAGGAGTGATGGACGTACATATACGCTACGTCAGGAGCCCAAAGATGGAGAAGCCACCGACGCACACTGCATCGGGAGCCCAGAGGCGAAGGAGGAGCTACCGACGTACATATACGCTGCTATCGCCACACTTTAACATCGCCAACTCCCAACTTGTTTTACCAGTGTTGAGAGGGAGATGAAGCAGGTGTAGGGGAGCTCAGGTTAACTTAGAGAGCATAACGAACTTTGTGAGTTCATCTATATCAGCCCTTATCTGGAACATCAAGGGTAGAGATGTCAGTCAGTTTACCTTTTATAGTGCCTCTAGTATTGAGCTAAGCAATATCCCAAGACTGTTAGGTTATTATGGGTATAAACAATGCCAAGTGTATATATATTGTGACTATGCATAGGTGTTGACTGTGTATATACACCGAGATGGAGATACTTACAGCGGCGTGAAAGAGACAGTGTGTGGGAGCCTCATCCTCACCATTGGGACATTGGGACACCCCATCACACAGGTCGATGTCTTCTATGCACGTCCAGCGAGCGTCTTGGCTGGGCGTGGGACAAAACATCTTCTTCCTACCGTCTGGAGCCAAGGGACAATCTGAGGGAACACAAGACATTCTCTTATTCGTCAATGTCTTCAGTTACATGGAATAAGAGGTAATTTGTGTCTCTTTTCACGTACCGAGACTCATATCTGTGTGTGATGCGTGACTCCCATGTCCACCACACACACACACACACTAGTAGCGACCAGTGAAGAGGCGGGACCAGGAGCTTGGACTCGACCCCTGCAGCCTCAACGAGGTGAGTACAACTAGGTCAACTAGGTGAGTACACACACACACACACACACACACACACACACACACACACACACACACACACACACACACACACACACACACACACACACACACACACACACATACACAGCAATGTAAGCAGAAAAACAGTGAGGTCAACTCTGAAATTTGTTGCAAGTGTAAACACAGAAAGACACAAGAATCAAGCAGTGGAGATTCCTTGATATCATTCAAGGCTGGTCAATAAAATCGATACGATAACAAGAAACAATGAAAAACTAAAATCTTGACAAGACAAAAACAGTGGAGGTGAAGGCCGTATGGAAACTAGAAAAGATATAACAGAACGTATGGAACATTCTTGTGATAACTCAATAGCAGAAATTCTCAGAAGGGAAGTAGATCAGTCGAAGATAAAAGGGAACGATAACCCGACAAAAGAAAGAGAGAGAACGGGAGAGAGAGGGGAAAAAACCTATAAGAATGTCTTGAAGGTAACGAACCAAAACAAGGGAGAGAGAGACCTTGTAAATGAAGGAGTGAATATTGGAGTGAGTGATGGAAATATTACTAAACGAAAAAGATTCGATGAAACTAAAAAATATTTAAGTATCGAGGATTTTGAATATCAAGAAATATATTCAATAAAATCTTAGGACTCTATGTATGTATATATATTATATATATATATATATATATATATATATATATATATATATATATATATATATATATATATATATATATATATATATATATATATATATATATCGTGCCGAATATGTAAAACTGGTCAATTAGCAAGAACTCTTTTAAAAATTTAAGTCCTTTCTGAAAATTTTCTCTTATACGTTTAAAGATATATTTTTTCATTAATGTTAATGTAAAAATTTATATTTTGCACCAAAAGAATCTTAGAAAACTTACCTAACCTTATTATAACAAGAACAATTTATTTTACCCTAACCAAAGTAAATATATTTTAGATTTGTTTACAATAATTTAATACTAAACAAACACAGTGAAATATATTTTTTTCATTAGGTTCAGAATGATTTTGGCGAAATTATTGCATACATAAATTTTCACTTGTCCTATATGGCAAGATGAGCGTTGCTATTTAAGCCAAGATCGCAAGTTCTGCCTATTCGGAACGACATATATATATATATATATTTATATTATATATATATATATATATATATATATATATATATATATATATATATAGAGTCTGGAAATGGGAAGTACAATGCCTGCACTTTAAAGGAGGGGTTTGGGATATTGGCAGTTTGGAGGGATATGTTGTGTATCTCTATACGTATATGCTTCTAAACTGTTATATTCTGAGCACCTCTGCAAAAGCAGTGATAATGTGTGAGTGTGGTGAAAGTGTTGAATGATGATGAAAGTATTTTCTTTTTGGGGATTTTCTTTCTTTTTTGGGTCACCCTGCCTCGGTGGGAGACGGCCGACTTGTTGAAAAAAAAAGAAAATATATTATCAAAATATTATACACTGACGCTCACCAACAGTGAGACAAACACAGTAAGTGTGTCAAAACAGTGATATAAGGACAGTAAGTGTGTCAAAACAGTGATATAAGGACAGTAAGTGTGTCAACACAATGATATAAGGACAGTAAGTGTGTCAACACAATGATATAAGGACAGTAAGTGTGTCCAAAAACAGTGATATAAGGACAGTAAGTGTGTCAATACAGTGATATAAGGACAGTAAGTGTGTCAACACAATGATATAAGGACAGTAAGTGTGTCAAAACAGTGATATAAGGACAGTAAGTGTGCCAATACAGTGATATAAGGACAGTAAGTGTGTCAACACAATGATATAAGGACAGTAAGTGTGTCAAAACAGTGATATAAGGACAGTAAGTGTGTCAATACAGTGATATAAGGACAGTAAGTGTGTCAAAACAGTGATATAAGGACAGTAAGTGTGTCAAAACAGTGATATAACGACAGTAAGTGTGTCAATACAGTGATATAAGGACAGTAAGTGTGTCAAACAGTGATATAAGGACAGTAAGTGTGTAAATACAGTGATATAAGGACAGTAACTGTGTCAATACAGTGATATAAGGACAGTAAGTGTGTCAAAACAGTGATATAAGGACAGTAAGTGTGTCAATACAGTGATATAAGGACAGTAAGTGTGTCAAAACAGTGATATAAGGACAGTAAGTGTGTCAATACAGTGATATAAGGACAGTAAGTGTGTCAATACAGTGATATAAGGACAGTAAGTGTGTCAACACAATGATATAAAGGACAGTAAGTGTGTCAAACAGTGATATAAGGACAGTAAGTGTGTCAATACAGTGATATAAGGACAGTAAGTGTGTAAATACAGTGATATAAGGACAGTAAGTGTGTCAATACAGTGATATAAGGACAGTAAGTGTGTAAATACAGTGATATAAGGACAGTAAGTGTGTCAATACAGTGATATAAGGACAGTAAGTGTGTCAAAACAGTGATATAAGGACAGTAAGTGTGTCAATACAGTGATATAAGGACAGTAAGTGTGTCAACACAATGATATAAGGACAGTAAGTGTGTCAAAACAGTGATATAAGGACAGTAAGTGTGTCAATACAGTGATATAAGGACAGTAAGTGTGTCAAAACAGTGATATAAGGACAGTAAGTGTGTCAATACAGTGATATAAGGACAGTAAGTGTGTCAATACAGTGATATAAGGACAGTAAGTGTGTCAACACAATGATATAAGGACAGTAAGTGTGTCAAAACAGTGATATAAGGACAGTAAGTGTGTCAATACAGTGATATAAGGACAGTAAGTGTGTAAATACAGTGATATAAGGACAGTAAGTGTGTCAATACAGTGATATAAGGACAGTAAGTGTGTCAAAACAGTGATATAAGGACAGTAAGTGTGTCAATACAGTGATATAAGGACAGTAAGTGTGTCAACACAATGATATAAGGACAGTAAGTGTGTCAAAACAGTGATATAAGGACAGTAAGTGTGTCAATACAGTGATATAAGGACAGTAAGTGTGTAAATACAGTGATATAAGGACAGTAAGTGTGTCAATACAGTGGTATAAGGACAGTAAGTGTGTCAAAACAGTGATATAAGGACAGTTAAGCTGTGTTGTCAATACAGTGATATAAGGACAGTAAGTGTGTCAATACAGTGATATAAGGACAGTAAGTGTGTCAAACACAATGATATAAGGACAGTAAGTGTGTCAAAACAGTGATATAAGGACAGTAAGTGTGTCAATACAGTGTATATAAGGACAGTAAGTGTGTCAAAACAGTGATATAAGGACAGTAAGTGTGTCAATACAGTGATATAAGGACAGTAAGTGTGTCAATACAGTGATATAAGGACAGTAAGTGTGTCAACACAATGATATAAGGACAGTAAGTGTGTCAAAACAGTGATATAAGGACAGTAAAGTGTGTCAATACAGTGATATAAGGACAGTAAGTGTGTAATACAGTGATTATAAGGACAGTAAGTGTGTCAAAACAGTGATATAAGGACAGTAAGTGTGTCAATACAGTGATATAATGACAGTAAGTGTGTCAATACAGTGATATAAGGACAGTAAGTGTGTCACACAATGATATAAGGACAGTAAGTGTGTCAAAACAGTGATATAAGGACAGTAAGTGTGTCAATACAGTGATATAAGGACAGTAAGTGTGTAAATACAGTGATATAAGGACAGTAAGTGTGTCAATACAGTGATATAAGGACAGTAAGTGTGTCAAAACAGTGATATAAGGACAGTAAGTGTGTCAATACAGTGATATAAGGACAGTAAGTGTGTCAATACAGTGATATAAGGACAGTAAGTGTGTCAAAACAGTGATTATAAGGACAGTAAGTGTGTCAAACAGTGATATAAGGACAGTAAGTGTGTCAATACAGTGATATAAGGACAGTAAGTGTGTCAATACAGTGATATAAGGACAGTAAGTGTGTCAATACAGTGATATAAGGACAGTAAGTGTGTCAATACAGTGATATAAGGACAGTAAGTGTGTCAATACAGTGATATAAGGACAGTAAGTGTGTCAATACAGTGATATAAGGACAGTAAGTGTGTCAAAACAGTGATATAAGGACAGTAAGTATAAGGACAGTAAGTGTGTCAATACAGTGATATAAGGACAGTAAGTGTGTCAATACAGTGATATAAGGACACTAAGTGTGTCAATACAGTGATAAGGACAGTAAGTGTGTCAATACAGTGATATAAGGACAGTAAGTGTGTCAATACAGTGATATAAGGACAGTAAGTGTGTCAATACAGTGATATAAGGACAGTAAGTGTGTCAACACAATGATATAAGGACAGTAAGTGTGTCAATACAGTGATATAAGGACAGTAAGTGTGTAAATACAGTGATATAAGGACAGTAAGTGTGTCAACACAATGATATAAGGACAGTAAGTGTGTCAACACAATGATATAAGGACAGTAAGTGTGTCAAAACAGTGATATAAGGACAGTAAGTGTGTCAATACAGTGATATAAGGACAGTAAGTGTGTCAATACAGTGATATAAGGACAGTAAGTGTGTCAACACAATGATATAAGGACAGTAAGTGTGTCAAACAGTGATATAAGGACAGTAAGTGTGTCAATACAGTGATATAAGGACAGTAAGTGTGTAAATACAGTGATATAAGGACAGTAAGTGTGTCAATACAGTGATATAAGGACAGTAAGTGTGTCAAAACAGTGATATAAGGACAGTAAGTGTGTCAATACAGTGATATAAGGACAGTA